TACATTTCTATACGTTGATAAACCTAGAAAACGTATTGCTAAAAACTTTACTAGTAATCTATCCTAATAATAAAAAATGGGTATATTTAACGAACAATCTTTTGATCATCCTTTTGCTAAAGGAATACAGGGTGCGCCAGGAGTTGGTTTTAGTCTAACCGCAGATGGAAATTATGATATTAATAAAAAAAGACTCACAAATGTAGGAGCACCCAGTACTAATACTGATGCTGCTACAAAGAAGTATGTTGATGATAATTCTGTTGGATCACCCACAACATCAATATTAACAGTTGATTCAAACATTGATATGAAGAATACATACCGAATTACAAATCTTAGCACACCACTGGATGGAAAAGAACCTCCTACAAAAGATTATGTAGACAATACATTTCTTGACAGAGATGGATCTTACCCAATGAAAGGTAATCTAAATATGGATAATAATCGAATATTTAATCTACCAGCTCCAACAGGTCCCAAACAACCAACACCATTAGCTTTCACAGATTTAAAGTATGTTGCCCGTAATGGTTCATCTACAATGACTAATAATCTAAACATGGATAATAAAAAAATAATTAACCTTAGACCACCAACATCAGACACTGATGCTGCAACAAAAAAGTATGTTGATGATAACTCAGGTGCCCCAGATCTAAGTGATTATTTAGAAAAAGATGGTACTGTCACTATGACTGGGAACCTTAATGTTGGTAATAATAAAATAATAAATCTTGGTAAACCAACCCAAGACAATGATGCGGTAAATAAAGATTACGCAGACAAACTAGTTCACAAAACAGCAATTCAACCAAGTCATTACAACAATCAGTTTGCTTATCTTATGTCAAGTGCGGCTCAATGGACTGATGAAATAGATACTGGAACCAGTTTTGTTATAAAAAGAATAGGAGATTTAGACCCAAACAAAGGAAACTTTCATGATTATAACCACAAAGTTATTTTTATGGGAATAAACAAAAGTTCTCAAGGTGGGTATAAGTATAAAATGGGAATCAACTTTTACAGGTTAACTGCAAATACTGATTACACACTGTGTTTTGAAATACTCAACACTGATTATCAATTATGGCATAAGTCTCAAATAAGTGTAGACAAAGGAACTTCAACAGGATTATCAATTGGAAATGTTAGTGTAAGGAAGCTATTCCATAGGTACAACGATCCAAAAGGACAAGCACAAATTATGTATTACCATAGAATAATAGTTAATTTCCGGAAGTTGTCAACTGGTAATAAGTTCTTTCTTCACTTTTTGGTTAATATACCACAAGATGGAACTGATTTGGCTGTTTATCCGAGACAGTTTTTAGGAGTTTATATAATTACTTATGGTATTGTGGGAACATTTAGCAATATCGACCTAGATAAAGTTTACGACTATCACACCGCATTTGATATCAAACCAACACAAGTGGTTTACAATGTTGATATAAATACAAATAATAAAAAAATATTAAATGTTAATCTTGATAAAAATAATGACAATAGCGCAGCAACAGTTGGAATGGTAAAGGAAATAAAACCTCACACTATAAATGATTTATACAGAAATTATTTCGAAGAAGTTTATGATTTTACTAACGCCGCTAATTACAAATTGAGTAGAACCTCATCAGGTATTGTTTTCAGATATTTATCTTCAAGTAGTGGTAATACTTTAAGAGATATGGGTATTACTCTTAGAACCATAGACGATATAAAAAAAAAAGGTCTAAATATTAACAATTATAATATTAGTTTTTCTCCTCCTAATTATGTTACAAAATATACTTTATGTTTAATATTTTATCATTGGAGAAACAGAAATTTTAGTATAAAAAAAAAAGATACAAATAGCAGAACTACTTTATTAAATTTTTACTATACTACTTCAGGTAACACAGTAAATTTAGTTGTTAATAATCAAAGAGGACAATTAACCTTTCCAAGTGATTTTAATGGAAAAAAAATTGTTATATGGTTAGCAGAAGATTTTAGCCAAAATATTACAAAAGTTAAAATAAGTAACTACAACGCAATATTAAGCTTACAAACCGTTAGATACACCAACGAACAAGAGTTTGAGTTTACAACTCAAGATGGAATTTTAAGTAAAATAATGTTTTCACCAAACTTTTACGACACCGACTCTGAGCAATATCACAAAGTAATGCTTCAAGAAAAGTTAAATGGAAGTTATGTAATATAAATATAAAATGAAGGATATCTTTGAATTTAATCATATAGATTCATCTTTATCAAAAGAAGAGGTAAAAACAATAAAAGATTTTTACAGTTACTACCATAAAAAATATTGGTGTTTTAAGAAGTCTTATAAAAGTTACAAATTTCTTGATAATTTTTTTACTATAAGTGGATTAGTTTTAGTTACTGTCGGAACTATTTCTGGTGGAATAACCCTTAATCCTGTTATTCTTGGAGTAATAAATGGAGCTGGAGTAATCATTGCTGCAGTAGGAAAGAAAAATAATTATAAGGAAAAAATAGAGATGACTCGGATTGCTTTTACTACTTATGAAAAAGTTCTTAATGAACTAAGATCTGCACTTAGAGGAGATGAATGGGATAAACAAAAATTTATAGATCAAATGAAATTAATAGATGATATGATAATCGATCAAACTCCTGAACCTGATAGATTTATTAGTAGATATCACAATAAATTTAAAAATTAAATATATAATAAGTTTTAATATTAAAAAATAAATATTAAAACTATTGAAACTTAAATGTATATTTACAACCATCTTTTTTAGATTTAGCTGTTTTATTTTTATTTTTACAAATTGCTGATATATTTGATTCAAATATAATTAATTCTTCAGAAGCTTTTTTAATAGAAATAAATCTTTTTTCATCTCCTGTATTAAGACAAATAGATATTATTGGTTTATTATTACTTTTTTCAACATTTTGCTTATGACTAAGTAATTGAAGATTATTAATATTATTATCATTTTTTACTCCATTGCGATGATCTACCTCCATAAATTTTGGTATAATATCATTAAATACCTCGTAAATAAAACGATGATAATAGTAATTCTTTGTTTTTTTTAATTTTGAGTCATAAAAAGAAAAGATTAAATAACCTTTACCATTTTGTCTATTTTTACTTAAAATTTTTTTAGATTTTAAACTATAAATATCACCATTTTTATTTGCTAAATAATTATTAATAAAAGGATGATTATAATATTTTTCACCATCAATTATAATCATGTTGGTCATGTTAATATATTTTAAATCTTTAAGTAATAAAATCAAATTTATTTTTTTAATAATAATATAATTTTTCTTTTATTAAAAGTTTTTTAAGTTTTTCAGGATCATGGTTTAAAAATAAATCTTCCTTTTTCTTTTTTTGTTCTTCATTCATTGTAAGACCGTAACCTTCAGCAAAATAAGCATCAGTATCTTCTTCTCTTTTATGTAAATAAAATTGTTCTGGTGCATCAGTTTTTTCAAGAAAACTAACCAATTTTCTAACCTTTTTTCTTATTACAGGATCTTCAACCTCAATATAAATTTTAATTGGAATATATTCATATGTATCAAGTTGAAGATATTTTAATAATCTCTTAAAAACAAAAATATCTTCAGAATATTCTCCATCACCATGCATAATATTAACTATTTCTTTTAAACTACATTTTTTGTCTTCTTTGTCTTCTTTGTCTTTGTCTTCTTTGTCTTTGTCTTCTTTGTCTTTGTCTTCGTCTTCAACTTCTTCAGCTTTAAATTGTGTTAATTTTTCTCTTTGTTCAAAAGATAAATTATTTCCATCATTACAACCAAGAATACAACCCATATCTTCAATTAATTCATCAATCATATATTCTAGAACACTTGGGTGAAGTTTATATAAAATTTCACAAATTTGTTCTAAATTTTTTAAAGATTTAGGATTAACTTCAATAAGCATTTTTTTTATTTAATAAGTATATAATTATTTAATAAAATGATTAAAACTATTGTTAATTATGTTAACTTTTACTACCCTACAATTAAAAATATAAAATATTCAGAAGATATTATAAAGACAGTATTGGTATATCGATTCTTATATGAACATTATGTAAAAGATTATATTACACTTGAATCAATAATATATAATATAAATATTTTACCTATTAAAACTAATAGTTCGATAATTAGAAATCATTTAATATTTCATAGAGCTTTTAAATCTTTTTACAAAAATTACAAAGCTGGAAGAGGATGTGTATACGTATTTGATTCTCCAATAAAGAGTGAAGTTCTTGGTTATCTAACCGGTCTTTTATATTGGATTTTTCATAAAGGATTAAATTAATATAAACATAAATATAAAATGGCTGTTTGTATTATTAAAAAAAAAGATCTTGTTAAATTATGATTCTCTCTATTTAGAAGATTAAATTTTTATATTATTTTTTTAATATAAAATTTATTTTATTATTTCTTTATAACTTTCCCACCAATTATCATAAATCTCTAAAATTTGAGGACTAATTTTAAGTTCAATATTTTTATATTTTTCACACCCCATTTCCTCCAAAGTTTTTTTTATTACATAATTGATATTTATCATTCTTTTTCTAAAATATTTATCATTTATTACTTTCATATTACTACTATCTAAAATTAATAGTTTATCGTAAAGTTCACATTTTTCTTCATCAGTAAGATTTATTAATTTAGAAATATTTTTAACCTTTTTATCAAAGTAATATTTTCTATGATAAATACTCTTTTTTTGATAGTGTAATCTATCAAAATCTTTCAATTCAATATTTCCTAAAATATGACCGTTTAATACTCCACATTCATTACACATATTTTTTCCTAAATAAGATGAAAAAGATTCTGTATTTGTACAACCTTTACATTTTAATTTTAATGTAAATTGATTAATAGTTTTTTTATAGTTAGATAATATATTTAAATATTTTTTTATTTCTTCCTCGCTATAGTTCATTTATTTATTTCTATCTTAATGCTAAAGTATGAATTTTATTCTTAAGTACTTTTCTTTTATCATCTTGATTACTTAGAGCTACTTTATTAACCTCTTTAGAATATATATCATGTTTTTCACTTTTTATAATTTTCATAGTTCTCATTTCTTTTTTATCTGTAAACAAACAATTAACATAAGCATCAAAATCTAATTCCTTTTTTATAACATTTTTCTTTATTCCTTTACACTTTTTTAATTCTTTTTCATCCTCAATTTTAAAACTATAAAGTTTCGGTCTCAACCCAACAAAATGTGTTATTTGTTTTCCAGCTACTTCATCCTTAAACATGCCTATTACTTTTTTATTAACTCCTGTTGTTATTCCAGAAGGATGATCTGATGGATAATCACTAGTATCAAATTTATTTTTTACATCATCATATATATCTTTGTAAAAATCTTTTGTTTTAATTTCATACATTAAACTGTCTGTATCTGTAAACAATAACTGAGCTTTTTTTCCATATTTATTTTTTATGTAGTTATAATGAAAATCAAACATTAAAGTTTTTGATAAATCTAAAATTGCTTGACCAACATATACTGGTTTATTAAAATACACTTCAGTTTTTTTCATATGAATTGCAATAAGATTTTTATCAAATATTGTTATTCTATCAAAATTTGGACGACTTGATAATTTGATAGCTTTCTCACGATTATCAATAAGATTTACATTTTGTCTTTTTCTTATATTTTCTATTGTTTTACCAAAAACTGAATTATTCATCAATTTAAAAAAGTCTTTTTCAAAACTGTTGGTTGCTGCCTTTCTAAGTTCAGTATTTTTTCTAATATATGATTCCATCCAAGGAGATTGATAAAACGATATTCCTCTATGTACAGCAGTAATTTTCATACCCAACTCTAAACATTGTCTAAGAGCTCGATAATGTATGATATAATTTTTTCGTTCTTTGAAATGACATATTAGTTTTTCAACACCATTAACTTTCATTAACTCAGGTGCTAAAGGATAGTCATTATGATTATCCCATAAGTGTTCAGGATATTCCAAATCAACTTCAAATATATAACCCTTTTTACCAGTATTAGACATGCTAGAATTTATTGTTTCTAAAATTTTATTTAACTTTTCCAATGTTAAATCTTTCATCCATTTAAATCCATGAGTTGGAAGATTTTGACTCATAGCCCATCCATAAAGATTGTTTGCATCCAAATATTGAATAAATTTTGATTTCTTTTCAGGATCGTAACTTTTCATATATTTATTATTTGCTTCTGAATATCTTTTTGATATATGTGTAATCCCACCCCGAATACCACGTTCAAACATCATTAACATATCATAATCATTTAATAATTCTAAATTTTGACCTGTTATTTTTAAACATGCATCCCAAGCAAGTCCTGGAGATGTGTAGTAATGAGCTGGATCTAGCTTGTAATGTTTAAGACAAGTTGATCTAAATTTTTCAAATACATCTGCTAAAAGCATAACATCAGATTTTAAATAAAGATTGTGATAGTCTCTTATTGTTTTACATCCAAACGCATTCCACACTTTTATTGCATGTTGATAATCTTCATCTGTAATATCTTCATCATTAAGTTTTGAATAAAATTCTTCTTTTGGTGGTAATTGTGTTTCTAATAATTTATCAAGTGATGAAACATAATCATAAGGATAAACTCCTTTTCTAGTTAATAGTGATATATTTTTCTTAAATTCACTTTTGGTATTATGAAAATCATCTAATGACAAATTTGATACAAGATTACCAAGAGATGATTGAAGAAACTTATATGAATCTAAAAATCTTATTTCAAAAGTTATTGGAATAATATCACCATTTATATGTTTATATTCTCCAACTTTGATATGTTTAGAAAATGAAATGTACTTTTCTTCAGTAGATGGAATACAATCTAATTTTCCATCTAATTTAGCAAGTTGTTTAATAAATAAATGTGCATCATAACCCTGAAGATTATGAAATATAACTGGTAATATTCTGGGTTTTTTACACATAAGATTACATTTGTTATGCGCAGCACCACGATACTCACCTGTAAAATGACAATGATCTCTAACTCTATCTTTACCTAATTTATAACCGCAAATATAACAATTAACTGTGTTATTAAATTCTTTTTGTGTTTCTGATGTCATTACTAATTTTTTTGGCTTGCAATAAAAATCGTTATAAATTCCTTTTGTCATTTCAGTAAGTTTTTCTACAAATATTTTTGCTACATCTTCATCATCAGAAGATTTTGTAAAAATAATTGGTTTAATTTTTTTACCAGCAATTCCTTTAGCATAAAAACAAAATCCTGATGGTTCGTGTTTTTGATAGTTAAAATTATAAGAATCTTTAGGATTAGGGCAGCAACTACTCATTGTTTTAGTAATACATTCAAAATCTGCATATACACAAAAAGGAATAGGAAGTTGTTTATAATAACTTTTAAAATGTAAACTAGATCCTGATTTTGGCATTTTTACAAATGATGATTTATTACTATAACAATATTCCATATGTTTTTCTAATAATTCTTGTTTTGTAAAATGACAAAAACATCTCTTACAAATTTGTATTGGTTCATCTGTTCTTGTAGTAATTTGACTACGTATAAGTCTTTGAAAATTTTTAATTAGAGAATAATGAAATTTACCATCTTCTTCATACAAAAATAAATCAATAGTATTTTTACATTCTTTCTTTACCTCCCTCAAAGGATAAATAATATTTTTATCATTATTTGAAAAAACATTTATTCCTGGAATATCTGGATTAAGATTTTCAAATTTTGTAATGTCTTTTACTTTCATTGGAAAAGTAATTCCTTTAGTGTTAAGTGAAAATTCATATTTTTTTAAATCTGACAAACGACTATCATTTTTTTCTCTTGGATGTAAATAACGAAGTACTGACCAAAGAAAACATTTTTGATCTTTATTTCTAATACTAACAATTGCTTTTTTTCTCATAATCCAATCTGGAAGAGGAATATAAGAAGAACCTCTCATTGGTTTGAATTCATTTGTATGAATTTCTAGTTTACTAATTTCTTTAAAATACCAATCACTACCATTATTTTGATATGTAGATATACCTTCAATAATTTTTGTTTTACTTTTACTAATTATATTTTTTACATTAGTTGAAACCAAATTAGTATGTGTATCAGAATGAAAGTATGTATGATCTTGAATTTCAAATATTTGATTACTATCTTTTGATAACTTTTCCTTTTTTTCCATAACAACATCTAAAATAAATTTTACTTTAGTATTTCGATGATTTTTAAGAAATTCCTTAATAATAGGATATTTATCTATAAAAAACTGATTAGGTAAAACACCTGATTTACCCTTAATAATATATTTTTTAGCAAATCCATTTAATGATGATTTTTCAATTACAATTCCTTGTTGATATTCTCTTATAACTCTCTCAAGAGCTTTTCGTAAATAAGGAGGAGTATCTTTTGGAATTTTTTTATTTTTTATACACTCCTCAAAATAATCTTCAAATGTTTTTAACTTTTTTGAAACAACTTTGGATTTAATCTTTTTTGGTTTAACTTTACCTTGTTTAATTTTATTTCCAAATTCTCTCACTTTTTTTATTTTTTCAATCACTTTCATCTTTTTTTCCAATTCCTTATAATCTTTCTTAACTTCTTGTTTTTCTTTCGAAAGAATTTTTTTTAATTCATCCAAAGACAAATTCATAAGTTGTTTATTTGTAGATGATTGAGCCATGACTTTTATTATTTATTTATTTTATTTCTTTAAATCAATTTTTATTTTCTGTTTCAATCTTTTATTCTTTTTTTATTTAAGTGTAGTATAGGAAATGCTGACAGCTGCCTCACTCCAAATTATTTCTGACTCTTCGAGCAATCAGAGAAACTAATTGTGAATCGAATGGAGCAAACGAATGAGTTGAGTGAAAATGAGTGAAAATGAACGAGCGTTAGCGAGTGAATTGAACGAATTGAACGAAACGAATGAGATTTGCGAAATGAGTGAACAATTAGTTTCGATGTTGCGAGATGAGGCAGAAATAATTTGGAGTGAGGCAGATGGCAGCATTTCCTATACTACTAGCGCTATTTACATTCACTGATCAACAGCGCTTAACAACTTAAAAAACTACAATAAAATTCAAATTTGTAAAACTAATTACATGTACATGAATATTACTTGCTACTTGCTTTATTGTACAAACGACCGGTTTCAATAGACCGGCGAAATTTCTCATTTTGTTAAAGCACTGAGGTTAAGATAACTTCGAGTTAAACTGATTTCACGGGTTGTCAAAGAGTCGAGCGATTCCCTTTTCCCAGGTGAGCCCCGACTCATTTCGCTTCAATATTCAGAAATGCTCTCGATCTCTTTACGCTTTCATTGCCCTTCGCCCGACATGTTTTGCACGGCGTTTAGTCACGCAGCGCGCGAGGTAACTTTATCCCAATTCTAAAAATAACTCGAGACGAATTACCTATGGAATAGGCTGTATATGGGGGATGCCTTCTCTGTCACCTTTATCTTCTCTTGTTATTACCCAATTCCCGTATCAATATCTATGTGGTAAGGCATTCTACAGTCGCATTATTGTAGAGACTGTCTTCTAGACATAGATGACCATGGTCGGCAGGTTGATCCGGCAATGATTAAATTTCAATTATTAAAATTAGATGATCCGAGATTATAGTTGCACAGAAATATATGACTGAGGTTGAATAAGTTGGGAACTATGAGCTTTCCAATCTTTACTACTCTAGAACCCTGAAGAAAAAATCGTAGCTTTGGTTGGTTATAGATTCACACAAATAAAAAAAAAATAAACGTATAAACTAGAAGAATTAAAAATGAATGTCAAGTTTACTCTTTCCGAGTATGTACACTTAAGCCCTTATTTGCCACTGGTATATCTGATTGATCTTGTTTTTGGAAACATGTTTAAACACTAAATCAATGTTTAATTGAAAGCAATTTTCTTTGTTTATGTAGCTACTATGTACTCACCCAGTTGCTTGATATAAAGATACTTGTCCAGCGTATTCACGTGGATATTTTCCTTCTGATAACTAGAGGTTAATACTTCAGTATAACTTGGTACGTGACATGTTAGTGTTACGAACTCACCTTAGATATGGAAAGATATCTAAAAATGCACTATGCCAAAATGGTATAAATTGCTGAAAGTCAGTATTCTTTTAAAATTACCTCATGTTTCCCAGGGTTCTTGTAAGAGGCTGTAAAAAATGTAAATCTTTCGGTTGTTTTTTGAGTTCGTTCTTTAAACCCAAGGAGCTCACAGTTTGCTGGAAATGTGAGACATACTGGAGACTTAAGGTCCGCGACTGACTTCGAGAGTGGTCAACTGGTTACTCCTATATAAAAGTTTTAGTTTCTGTCTAATACAAGAAGTTTAGATCCCTAAAGATCGTATGTATTGAAATGAGATAAACATTAGCAGATGCTTTATTTTGTCGCGATCAGCTCGTCACACGTACATGAAGAAGAAGGCGTATAGTCTTTACCTTTTTACACTTCAGTTCGAGCGCTCTTTAAATCTGAATGCAGAGGATGATGCTGATCATTCAGTTTCCCCACGTAGCAGTTATTCTGCTGCCCTGTTTCTGTATAATTAATTTGGTAGTAAATTCCTGTTTCGCTGACCTAGAAAAAAACTTTTCAATAATGATGTTGCATTTTCGAAATATAGTATAACTACATATTTACCAGAGACTTCTTTTTTGCTGTCCATTAGTCCATGCGGTAGCGTTTTTCAACTGCTTTTACCTTTGATTATGAGATTAAGACAGATACTTTCTCTTGAAATTAAACACAGACTTCTCCTTGCTGCAATGGTGGAAAGCCGGGTAGTAATGGTATTCCTGGTGTAAATGGACTCCCGGGTTCCCCTGGGGCACCCGGCCGTGATGGTCGTGATGGAATCAAAGGAGAACAGTGACTCCCGGGAGACACTGGACCCCAGGGACCTTCTGGGGAGAAAGCAATGAAAGGAGAGCGTGGTAGGTAGGGTCCTGTCGGGCCCAAAGGAGATCGAGGAGAGAAAGGTGACAGTGGAATCCAAGCAGGGCCACATAACATGTGTTCGCACTTAAACTGGAAGGAGTGCACGTTTACAAGGGAAGATGGCAAAGATACAGGAGAGTTATACGTAAGTTGTCAGTTATATTATAGTTATATGACTGAATAAAAATGAATGAACTCTTAAATTGTAAAGGTCAGTCCACCGCTAATTAAGAAAATTTTACAAAAGCCCAAGCCTGACAGACCGAGTAGTATGTATATTGCAGTAGTATTTGTCAATGTGCGTTAGTGTGTTAAGTCGGTGAACTGTACGACCAATAAACTCATATCATCATCTTTTTTTTTTTATAAGCTGTTTAGCCGAATTCACTTATATGAGTTTTATACAGATGACTTAGAATCTGATCACGCCAAACTTTTGGTGTAACATAGATTTCACTCTAAAAGAGGAGTGAAGTTTGCAAGGGTTTGCTCTCCCTCAAGTGGCATGTACTATGTAGCTTTATCCAAACTTACAAGCGGAGCTCTCTTAGTCAGCTTTTATCATCTTCACTGAAAAAGCGATACGGTCAATTGATAAGTTAAAAGGATTCAAGATCCAAAAATTTTAGTCGAAATGTTCATTTAGTTTCAATCCTTTATGTGCCGAGTTCTGTTAGCACTGTCATATTTATCAACTTTCACTCATTTTTTTATCTATCACCAATCAATCATATCACTCATTCTATTTTCCTTGCGGCAGAGCTGTCAGTTCATGAAGAATTATACACAAACGGCTCTCCATGTCTACTTCGCTGGTAACCTTCGCATTGCTTCCTGTGACAACTGCTGCAGTCGTTGGTATTTCACATTCAATGGTGCTGAGTGTAGCTCTCCTGGTAGAATTGATGGCGCGTACTATATGGCAACAGCAGCTGGCAAAAACCTTCACCGTCACCGTCAAATTGAAGGACACTGCAATAACATTCACAAGGGAAGAGTGCGAGTGGGATTCTGGGTTGGAAACTGCAATAATGGCCATGCACTTGCTGACGCGTACACAGGGTGGACCACAATGTCCCGGATCTTCATTGAAGAAGTGGCGAGAGCACAACAGTAAACTTGACTGACCACACATGTCCCCAAAGACGCACCTGATAGCAAAATTGTCTTAGTTCGTGATTTTAAAAGAATTTTAAATTCTTTAACTCCGTCCTGTTGATCTGTATACCTTTAAAAAAACTGAGTTGTAACTAAGAAAAAAAAACATGAAAAGTTAGAATTTGTAGAATGGACTTACCGATTAAACAATAAAGTTTAAGAAAAGCAACTTTATAGAATTTGTTATTCCAATCAAACTTTGTCACAAGATCCTTACGTAAAAGCTGTTACCTGTATTTGTCTTTCAGGCAGTTCAAGGTTCGCTTTCGGTTCTGTTACTGCCAGTTCGCTTCCGTTTTTAATCAGAAGGCTTACTGTTATAGCCTGAGAGCCTAATTGTTCAAGGATCTCGTGTTAGCGTGAGCTAACTGTGGTTTAAGGCTTCAACTAACGGGACGGGACAGGTCTGTCATTTCTGATTTATATAATTCAGGGTCTCTGACGTTAATGCTCTTTAAAATGCTACGACGCGGATGCGGATCTTTTTCCAACTTGCGCACCAAGTAAAAGTCAATGGGCCAGGCTTATTTAAACGGAGTTAAGCCAGTGTTTTAAAAAACCGCGTCCTAAGCCATTTTCAGTTTGCCGACAAAAGCTTTTATCTCAATACCATAGTTCGTGAAAAGTTTTATGAAATCATATAGGCACAGACTAGAAAGACAATTGTGTTCTTAAAATTACTACCTACTAAGGAAGAAATTTGGTGGTTGAAAGAGTTGCTAAACCGCGGCCTAACTTAGACTTTGTTTAAATAACCGGCCCAATAATTTCCATCCTTCCATGCGGTTACACATCGGTTTCATTTATAGCACTAAAAGGCATCGTCCCTTGTGCTTTGTGATAAAATATCTTTGTCCAGATTTAATCTAATTGATCAAACTCCACAGTTGAAAGACAACTTGAAAGGCACGTTTTATTTTGAAGCAAGGAGGTGGAAGTTGTATGCAACAAATTCACGGGACTCTTTAGGAGGTAATCGGTACTTTAAACATAAAATTGGGTGTGGGGTGCTCCCCGACCCCTCCTACCCTTCCCTGGACCCGCCAGAATTTCTTTTTTCAGGCTGTCCCAGGAAGGGCAATCGAATCGAGATCGTGCTAGATGTCAACGAACCAGTTAATGCAATTGACCACTACAGAAAATGCCATAACATACCATAATAATCTTTGTTGGTCACTCCAAAATTTTGCATAAGCATTGTTTTCAGTTTGTCTTTTGGCCATTTTCACTCCCAAGAGAAACTGAAGACAATGATTATGAAAAGTTTTGGAGTGACCAACAGAGAGTATTGTGGTATGTTATATGGCAATTTCTGTAGTGGTCAATATACGTGTATGGCTTTCTAAAATGAGAAGGACTATATAGTAATTTCAACAAGGAAATTATGCCGTGTTATTTTGTTTGCTGGGATAAAAATAGTATTTACTAACACTTTCAACAAATCGAATATTAGAAAAAAGAGATAAACAAAACAGTCAATATTATTCACTTTTAATTTAAACCAGTAATTCATTTAATAACCGTTCAGTTACGTAGCCAAAGTCCAGCGGGGACAAAGGAATTTCTTCTACATTCATGCAACTGCATGCAGTTTCTCAAATGTCATCTTTAAGCCCCATGCTTTCGCTTTCAGGGTGGTTAGCCAATTCCCGTATATATATCTATGTTTTTATGCATTCTAGATCATTCTATACTCTCATTATTGCATGCCAAAAGAACTGAGAGGCTGACTTCTATACATAGAGGACCAACGGGTCTGTTTGTTGATCCACAGTAATGATTAAATTTCAGTTTTTATTTTATTAAAATCAGCTGATCCGAGATTATATTTGCACAAAATATTTATGTATGGTTGAAGTTGACTAAGTGGGGAACAATGAGCTTTCAAATCCTTACTACTCAAGAACCCTGAAGAAAAAATCGTTGGCTTTAGTTGGTTATAGGATTCAGACGAATGAAATAAATAAACGTACAAACTAGAAGAATTTAATTTGACTTGGAAGGATTCAATACGGCGTTTTTCAATTTACTGTAGCTGAGTTTTGTGCTCGATGGATTGTTTACAACTCCCGAGTATTCCTGTTGAAGAAGCCGTTTCGTGAACTCAGCGTTTTCTAACAAGAAAATTTTGACTCAAAAATCGAAGTTTTATGACAAACAAATTTAAAAGGAAATGTTTGCTGAAATTCTACGTTTCAAGTAAACAGGAAAAAGAATGATACAGGAAGACGACGTGTTACCTTGAGCAACCGAGCCGGCCATTTTTGTCAGCACTTCATGCGAAGAACGACACAACAAGCCCTTTTGGCTATAAACTTGGCGAGTCAACAGAAAACAACAAAGCTCCACTTTTCTTCTCAGGTAAGGAAACAGTTCAAACTTTTAGCGGTTCCATTTAAGCCATTACGCTGTTGTTTGCGAAATGATAAACTTGTGAATTGCCATGTTTGAAAATTCTCCAAAGATCTATTTTTAAACTTACGCGTGGTTTGATCTGTCAATCAAATTGTACTTTTTAATGGTTTCCTTTCCGATTTTGTTGAGATCACTGAGTGTGTATATACTAAAACAATTATTCTTTTCAATCTCGGTGAATAGTGGCTTTGGGATTTACCTCGCCGCTTTCGCGGCTCAGCAAATATTTAGCCACTATTCACCTCGATTTCAAAGAATAATTGTTAAATGTTTTAATGCATTCTACACTCTCCTTATTGCATGCCAAAAGAACTGAGAGGCTGACTTCTATACATAGAGGACCAACGGGTCTGTTTGTTGATCCACAGTAATGATTAAATTTCAGTTTTTATTTTATTAAAATCAGCTGATCCGAGATTATATTTGCACAAAATATTTATGTATGGCTGAGGTTGGCTAAGTGGGGAACTATGAGCTTTCCAATCCTTACTATTCAAGAACTCTGAAGAAAAAATCGTTGGCTTTAGTTGGTTATAGGATTCAGACGAATGAAATAAATAAACGTACAAACTAGAAGAATTTAATAATAAATGTCAAGTTTACACTTTCCGAGTTTGTAGAAAGCCCTTATTTGCCATATAGTAATTAATTTGGTCTTGTTTTTGGAAACATGTTTAAATACGAAAACAGTGTCTAATTAAAAGCAATTTTCTTTGTTTATATAGCTAGTATTTTTTCAGTTGCTTGATATAAAGGTGCTTGTCCAAGCGTATTCAGGTGCATTTTTTCCTCCTGATAACTGGACGTAAGACTTCAGCATAACTTGGTATGTGACATTTTAGTGTTGCAAACTTACCTTAGTGTTGGAGACGGGGAGGGAGATATCTTAAAACTCACTTCGCTGGAATGCTATAAATTGCTCAACGTAGTTTTCTTTTTAAATGACCCTATTTTTTCGGGAGTTCTTGTGCCAGGCTGAAAAAACGTTCAAGTTTTCAAACGTTTTTCGAGTTCGCTCTAGAAACCCAAAGACACGGTTTGCTGCAAAAATTATGAAATATACTGGAGGCATACTTCTGCTAGTGACTTCGAGAGTAGTAAACTGGCTATTCCTCTTTAAAATTTTCAGTTATTTGGGAGCTTAAGCAACAACGATCGGACGGCGACGGCTACGAAAACGTCGCTTGTTAAGTGAGGTCCCGCTACTTCAAAGTTTTTCGCGCTTACGCCATCTCGTTCGGTTCTCCCAATGTTGCTAATTTTGTCTGGAGTTGAATTTTAAAAGACTGTATCGAAGTTCAGAAAAAGAAAAATAAGTCGTTGTCTTGTGTTTACGTTCTCCACAAAAGTTGCATCGACGGCAAAGAAATGTACAGAAAAGCGTGATGCACGTGCAAAGTAGTTGTTTTGCTTATCTAAACCTGGTTTTTTTGCGTTCTCGTTGCCGTCCCCGTTGTCGTTGCTTAAGCTCTATAATGACTCAGTCTTTTTTTAAGTTAACCATCGGTGAGTGTAAAGAAAGTTTTAATTCGTTTCAAACACTTTTAAGAGCGGATGTCAGTAAATATCGACCAGAGGTCTACAAAAGTGAAAAATCGAAAATTCTCAAAAAAATTCACAAAGTAGCACTAGGTAAGCTATTAACATAAATGTAATTTTTACTTCGATCCGATAATTATTTTCCACGTACGGGGGGGTTATTGGTTTCGCGGCTCTCCGACCGGGTTTTCCAGGCCTGAGACCATGTGTCACAAAAAAATCGTTTTAAAATTCAAATCCATTGTAATGTGGACAACAAATAACTTATTCAGAAGAGTACTTAATTGCACACATTCTAAGTGATGATTTACTCAGTTTGAACGAAAGTGTAATATTTTGGAGATTTTTCATTATTTTTAATATTTTGAACGTTTTCGTTCAATGAAAAAATGGCAAATTTCAAAGCCCAAAATCGTCGACTGGTACCTCGATTTCAGTAACGAGTCTTATATCACGTTAAAGAGCGTTATCTCTTCTTTCAAAATCTGTTTTCAAAAGTACGGGCAACTTAAAAGAAAATTTTTGAGGCCAAAAAATACAAGTAGTACTTTTCTGAAATTTGAGCTTTCCAGACGCGGCGGGCCGATGCTAAAAACTTGGAAAAATACAGTAAGAAATCAGTTTGAGCAATAGTGGTTTCATGTTATCAGCTTTCAGAAACCAAGACGTGTTTATCGAGCGATCTGATAAAATTTAATGCCGTTTGCTATCAAGAAAGGCAGAGTTTAGCCATCTTCTGCTACCAAACGCACGAGTGACGTAAGGTTGTCAAAGGGCAAAGCACAATAATAAACTTCAAAAAGCACAACGTTTCTGCGTCCAGGAATTATACTTTAGCGGACAGAACATTGCCTACGAGTGTATGTTTCATACCTTAGCATGGGTTTCCTAGATACTGGAAATAAAAAACATCAAGGACAGCATCGGCAAGAGCATCTTCGGCTGCTCTCAAACGACGGAGATTGCGTTACTTTTCACAGATTGACCGCTTACCACCTGTTTTTGGGCTCGCATTTCGACGGAACGCTTGCCTCGAGAGGCGCACGGCACGGATCTGAACTCTTCTTCACGAGACATTGAGCTGAATTTATCGGAAATATGCCACCACCACCAACAACATGAGCTTTTTTCGGTTATTTGTCGTTTTTTATGCGAAAAGTTCGGGTAAGCAGATTCTCGCAAAAACCATTTGGCTTAAAAAATGTGTTTAAAAGCCCACCCTGGATTTGAAGCAAAAAGTATTTCCTCGAATAAACTAAAAATACCCAATTCATGCGGTGAAAAAATGGATGATTATGGAAGGATTATCGAATTCTTGCCTAACCTGAGGGATTTCCCGTGATGTAGGATTAGGGCTAGGAAAAAAGCCCATAACCTGCTCCTGTCGTTGTGAATTTCCTCAAGATCAAAAATTTCAGTAAGAACCGAAAACAACAGCTTAAAGGAGGTGCACACACCTTGAACTAGCTAGGGAAAAGGGGCTTCTGATTGAGCTAAACTGTCATTGATGCACGGTGCAATTAGGTAGACCTGTTACTATCCCCCGCGCAACCACATGGGGAGTACTTTGAAGCGGTCCTCTCGGGGACTTTCGGGGGTAGGGGGCGGGGCAAATCGAAAATAACTTCTCTTTGTTTTTGTGAAGTACAACATTTCTCGCACGGTTGACAAGGTGACGGCGGACTCCGTACCTTTGGAAAGGCCCTTTTGAAACATGTCGTGGCAACATGCAGGGCATCACGAAATTAACGTCAACACCTTGAATCAACTCCATGAACAGGAAGAGGCGATAAGTCCCATCTTAAAAGATGCTTGATGTCTAGACGTGAATAGTCTGTCCACAGTCATTTTTCATTTTGTATTTCGGGACCATTTGACAGCGTACGAGTGAACCGGAGTGCAGTAACGAGCCCTAACCCCACCCCATTGCCCTTGCGGTCAATAAATCATCGCATTTGTTTTATGCGCGTGCGGAGAACCTCCAAAGGGAATATTGAGGGTCTTTGTACAGTTTCAGTTTATTTTACCGACAAAAAAGAACAAAACAAAGCAAAAGACAAGTATACAGAAACACGCAGAAGCAATGTGGTGAGGAAGCCCAAAAAGAAACCATAAGGCTTAGGTCATCCCCCTTTCGTTCGTTTAGCGTCGAATAGGTTTCCTGGTTTTGAGCGGGTCGGTCGGTGGGGTAAAAAAAAAAAAATAACAAGAAATCTGAGAACGGGAGGCCTGAAACACCAGCATCATTGCCGAATCAATTGCACAAACTCAATATGGCGGAAAATTTGATGGTCAATTTCATAAAAAAAGGCCCAAAAAAGGGTAAAAAGCAAAGAGGATACACCAACGAACGTTTTATGCCTCGAAATGATGTTATAATGCTAAAAAAAACAAACCTTGTCGTTTCTTTTTCTTGCTTTTTTAAAAATGCCAAAAAAACCTGGGTCTTTTTGACGACACTAAACGAACAAAAGATTAATATAGGTATTAAGCTCCCTTAAAGTATAAAAGTGTAAGTTTACAAGGACAGGATCGAACGTATACTGAGTAACTAAATGATAAAAATTTGATCAAAATTAAATGAAAGGCTAAGAGCCTAAGCGCTGTCTGATAACGAAACGGTAAACAAGAAGTGCTGCCTCTCATTTAAAAGAGACGTGAAATACTGGGTGGACCACATCCTGAACTCCCGCGAAAACCGCAAGAGAGGAACGCTCAGGGCTAAGGAGACTAAACAGGGGCGTAGCTACTTGTACGTACGGTTTGCACGTGCGTACCCGAAAACGTTGAGGAAAAAATAGAATGAAATAAACGTAACTAAAAAAAATCGGTTTCCAGAGAAGCGACGACATTAATTGGAGAACCGAATCTTGGATGATTTATTTATATAGCAAGCTTGATGATGTAAAGCGTGAACGCGTTGTTTTCTCCACGACCTGTCTCCAGAGTAGACGAAGTAGGGCACAATTACGTCAATGTGTGGTGCTTTTGTCGGTCAAAAATAATGTGACAAAAAGGGGTAAAAAGAGTCATTTGTAAACTAAAGTCGGAGGTACTACAAGCTTGATTTTTAATAGCTGAATTAATGATAAACGGTTGACGTCAATGAACATAACAAGCCGACAGAATTTAAGAATTTTAGAGGTTGTGTCATTTCATAAACAGCAAAAATGCTTTTGCTTACAACCGCTACCCCCACCTTTAATAAAGGCACCTAAAAAAAATGCTGAGATTTGGGGTGGGGAGAGGGGAGGGGGGGTAGAAGATGTAGAAAAAGTTGGGCGTACCTCCGGAAAAATCCTGACTACGCACCTGCTAAAGCCTGAAACTGAACAACAGGAGTTTTGACGAAACGTCCTCAGTTATCACCTGTCTGGGGTCGTACTTTCAAGGAAACGCTGATCAAGAATCACTCATGACGGAAGGAAAACTCCTCGTAGCTTCCAGCGAAAAAAGGAGTGACAACAGTGGTAAGCGGTCGTTCTGTGAAATGTAACGCAATCTTTGCCGTTTACGATCTTTCGGCGCTTGGATTTGAAACGTTGTTGTTTGGTATGTTCTCCCGTGTGGATACTTGACATTTCCAATATATGGAAACGCCATGTTAAGGTACGAACAACAGACATTCACAACATTGTTTTGTACGCTACAATCTGATTTCATGGACGTAAAACGTTTTGAATTTTAAGACTTTTTAATGTAAGTGCTTTGCCCTCCCTTTGACAACTTCACGTGACTGGTGCACTTGGCAGGAGTTGACAGCTTAAATCTGCCTTTCTTGATAGCAAACGGCATTAATTTATATCAGATCGCTGTATAAACACGTCTTGGTTTCTGAAAGCTGATAACGTGAAACCACTATTGCTCAAACTGATTTCTTACTGTATTTTTCCAAGTTTTTAGCATCGGCCCGCCGCGTCTGGAAAGCTCAAATTTCAGAAAAGTACTACTTGTATTTTTTGGCCTCAAAAATTTTCTTTTAAGTTGCCCGTACTTTTGAAAACAGATTTTGAAAGAAGAGATAACGCTCTTTAACGTGATATAAGACTCGTTACTGAAATCGAGGTACCAGTCGACGATTTTGGGCTTTGAAATTTGCCATTTTTTCATTGAACGAAAACGTTCAAAATATTAAAAATAATGAAAAATCTCCAAAATATTACACTTTCGTTCAAACTGAGTAAATCACCACTTAGAATGTGTGCAATTAAGTACTCTTCTGAATAAGTTATTTGTTGTCCACATTACAATGGATTTGAATTTTAAAACGATTTTTTTGTGACACATGGTCTCGGGCCTGGAAAACCCGGTCCGAGAGCCGCGAAACCAATAACCCCCCCGTACGTGGAAAACAATTATCGGATCGAAGTAAAAATTACATTTATGTTAATAGTTTACCTAGTGCTACTTTGTGAATTTTTTTGAGAGTTTTCGATTTTTCACTTTTGTGGACCTCTGGTCGATATTTACTGACATCCGCTCTTAAGCCTCTCAAAAAAATGAAATTTGCATGCAATCGTTATTTTTCTTCAATGTCTACTGAAAATGATAATTCTTCTTCTTTTTTCACAACGTCGGCTTTAAAGTGTACATCAGAGGTTAACAAAGCGCATCAGAACGATTTGCGTGAAGAAAAATTACTTTTTTTCACTTCTCAGTAAAAAATCTCGTTAACTTTAGTAAAAAACGTTTTATGCAACACCCGCAATTTCTGTTGCATAACCGACACTTAAGTGAACACTTACGAAAATCGTAAGTGCAACCACTTAAGTGAATTCCCTAAGTGGACCACTTAAGTGATTTAATGCAACTCACTTAAGTTACGAGTGCACGTACGTATACCAGTAGTTGTTACGGGCGTTTTATGCAACCAGGCCCTGGCCTCTAAAATATGGCCGTGAATAATAACATAAAAGTTCTGATCTAATTTATACGTCCATTAAATGTCCGTAGAGAGGGAAAGCAATTGTCTCTGGGCCGCGGTAAAGCGACCCATCTATAATTAGCCTTTCTACCTTGAAAAATGCAGTACGCTTTTCTTGCTTGGCGGCTTTTATAGTACTGGGTACAGCTTTTTCCTCATTTCTTCTACCTCCTTTGGAAAGTCGTCGGAAATTCCAAGATTGCGGCCTTTTGTAAGGTTTTTGACGAAAGATTTAATAAACTCTTTGTCGTGGAAGCTGGAAAGCTTGACAATAATCGGTCGTGGCTTGGAATTCGGAGTGCCAGACGATACTCGACGAGCTGATACCCTGTGCACTCTATCGAACTGAATACTTTCCTCGTCCTCTTTAGGGATCTTTAAGTCGGTACGCAAAAAGTTCCTCAAGAAATCTTCGGTCTCTTCGTTCGATTCATGCTCGCGTTCTTTTATTCCATAGAATTTCAAATTACCTCTGCGGCTGTGACACTCTGATTTAATATGACGGCGCTGCAATTGGGCGAGTTCACATTGGACGCGTTGAAGTGAAGCTTCAGTTGTCTTCTGTTGTTCAGCGATGTTATCTTGTAAGCCTTGCATTTCTTTTATCTCAGTTTGAGAACTTCCGAGGCTTTCTTGCATGCTTTTCTGTTCATCTTCGAGGGATTTAACTCGGCTCTTGTCGGTTTCAAATTCGTCTGAAAACTTTAGTAGTCTTTCAAGCTTCTCATCAATTTCAGCGAGACGAGCATTTGTTGACTTGCATTTTGGGCAGCCATGGCTGTCTTACTTGAAGAAATCCTCGTCTGTTTGTGAGCTTCCTTCGCGTGTACGCTTCATTTTTCTTTCTTTGAGAGCTTCGCAGGATATTTTTGGTTTGTTTTTAGGCATTACTGAATTATTATTTTGTGAGAAATGGCCATATTCGGGACCAAGGCGAAGCAATTGAAACACGTCCGCCATGGTCGGCTTCGACACCACTCTCAAACCGAGATGATTTTCCATCTTTGTTACGGTGTGGTCATAACGAAATTTGATTTGGTTTTCGCGACAAAACTTCTTGATCCTTCGAATAGTTTTGTTGTTTACGACACATTCTGTGTGTCTAAAGCTATAACATTGATTTTTTACTTTGAGTGAAATAATTGGGTGAAACCCTTCAATCCATTTTCATAATGCCCAGAGTCCTCTTTTATGTACCATACGTTGTCGCAATTATTGTTGAAGAAAAAACAATCTTTTACTAACAAAGCGTTCATTAAGAGTGATAGTGCCGTAGAGATAGGTTCAGTTTTAGTAGATTTAATAGGCTCCTCGTTTCAAAGAGTCAGCGAAAACCCTAAATACAAAAAAGACTTTCTTTTGAAAGACCACATGCTAGGATTTGGGCCACAGTTTTAAGTATCTGTGATTTTACATTGCTCTTTTAGTTTGCATCTCAGCCAGTTGGAATGAATGTTTAGACAAAACATTTGAAAGGTCATTAACGTTTCTTTTAGGTTTCACCGGTAAGATACTCAGTAATAGACAGTGCGCCGATAAACATGAGGTCCTTAAGCGAGCTTAACGATAAACGAGAGTTAGTGACTCGGGACAAAGGAAAATGCCCATTTATTGTCTGAATAATACCCGGTGTCCGTGCTATGGAAAACACACGAACTTTTCTCCGGGACAAACTAAACTTCCCATTATATACGGGTGTCGGCACTAATCGCGGCTTCACCGTTTGTAGTTACTTTTCGTCTAATGTGATGCACATCGTAGAGGAAATTTTTGAAAATTTTTCTGTTTGAGGAGAGGGGGAGACCGGAGTTCGTGGTACAAAAAATAATAATAATAAAAAACAAGGAACATTTTAAAGAAATCTTAGTTTCTAGTGCATCAGGTGCCACATCATGTTCAAGGTATCCGGCTGGTAAAACAGTACTCCTACTCAATATTCTGTTTCAGTTAATAGCTTATACGTTTATTGACTATTTATGAAAAATTTTCCCTTTGCACACAGCTGTAATCACACAAGAGTTTAGAGATTTTAGCGATAATTGATTTAAGAAGCACGTATGAATTATGCTTGTTGAGTTACTTCTACAAAGTTACTTGTACAAAGCAACTTGAAGTGTTTTTCAAGTGAAGTTGAGTTGCTATTACAAGCCTCGTAATTTTCTAAAGTGTTAAAAAGAAAAGACGCGCGATAAAGACCTCAAAAAAATTTCCAGGTGAGCGACTCAGTTAACTGAAAAGATTTTCCATAGTTTTGTTGCAATTCCTCTTTTCTGTTCCACATATTCCCAATGATAGCTGACAAGCTTTTAAAAGTGCAACTGTTGATTTTTAGTGATTAGGTACATATGTGTAGTACTTCAGAAGAGGTACTTTCAGCTTTGTAATTTAAAACCCTTTGTTTAGAAAGAGAACATTTCATCGTTGTTTGTAATAGAGTGGTTACTTTTTTATCGAGATATTTGCTTTTAAAATCGGAGAACTCAGTCAAAGCATTTGCGTCGTTCCTTGAGATAGCCAGATTTTAGAAATTACACTGTTCGTAATGATAAGGTCTAAAATTCATGTTTCATTATTTGTACATCTGTGTTTCGTCGTTGTTCTCACTTATTAATTTTTTTTCTTTAAAATAACTTGTTAATGATACTGATATATTTTTTAGTTTTACCATGTTGACTGTTGTTTTAACAAAAGCAAAGAGCTTGTAAACAAGCTTAAAGATAACGGAGCCTTAACCTTGCTTTAAGAACTCAAAAAGGGATGATAGAAAGAAGACCAAAAAGTTAGCGCGGACTATTTCTAACTCAAATTCCAAAGACAGAAAATATGAAATCGGGTATTGTGAGGTGTAACTTGCATACTTGATGAAACTCATGCTTTCAGTCGATCGCCTTTCAATCCTTCTATTTCTTTTGCCAAATCACTTTGGGTGCTTCCCATTTGTCAGAAGTGGCCGGCCAGACCATTACCATTGCAATTTTTAATCAAAACTCTCCAGCCAGATGAGTCAAATCCTAAAATAAAATGGTATGCACGAAGGATATATGTTTGAAAAATAAACTAGGAGTAATCGGAGCTTAGGAGAGTCCGTTAGTACGTTAGTGCGTTAGTGCGTTCGACTTGTTTGTTAGCTATTTATAGGTGTACAGTTAGCAGTGGACTAAACCTCTAAGTAAAGTACGTGTGAGTAACAACGAGTCAAACACTAACTTTGATCCTGAGGTTTGTTCTTCTGTTTTTGTTTTTGTTTTTTTTTTGTTTTTTGCACTGTAGGATGGTCAATAAAATTGGCTAAAAATTGGGATACAGAAAATTAAAGTGATCTGAAAAGGTTGTTGATGTCACAACCTCGTTCCCAGAGGGTAGGCTGGTAGGAGAGAACCCTGGGAACGAGGTTGTTGATGTTAAAGCGTGGAGTATCACTTTAAACCCTTCTTGCGTGACACTACAGGTTAACACGTACGATTCACCTACTTAGCATGGTTATCCAAATAAAACGCACCCGGAATTAGAGACGTTTAGACTTTCAACTTTTGATATAATTTTCAAAAATGCAGGTGACAAACAAAAGCGAACACAACACTGTTAATAGCTTTTTAAAGCAAAAAGATGTAATTTGTAATAGAATTAAGTTAAAGATATGGTCAATCTGAGCTCATAAAAACAAAACAGTGTGCAGAACACATTTTTCAGCCATTATTGACATGATATCTACATATCCGATTTTCTCAAAATGTGCGAGAAAAACGGTAACAAACCTGAAGTAAAGGGACAATCGTCAATATTTTCATCGAGTTTCACAAAATAGATACCATCGAATACCAGTGTTGCAAACGCAGCACCAACGAAGAGAAAGATGAAGAACCCTTTTAATGCGAAGACGAACAAGAAAAAGATGAACAACGCTTTACGAAGACAGGAACGCATGACCACGAATCACCACTTGCGTTAATTAGCGGGTCAAAGTGAGGCACAACGTATGCTAGCGCCTCAAAGCGAGGCAAATGTGTGTCGACACAAATGAAATTTCAAAAAATCTCGCCTATTAACTGCACAGGACACAAAACAGAAATTAGGAGTTGTCAGATAAGTCTCAGATCGAGGGAATTGTTTGGATGATAAAAAAGTAAGTCACAGCTGCGTATAAGAAAAGAAAATTTATGCTGGCTTATGAAAAAACAGAGTAGTGAGTGCGCTTTTCCCGTAAGGAATACAATCTTGTTGATTTACGTATTTTGTGATTAAGTCATTTGAACAGTTACAAAGGCTGAGTGACATTGAGATGTTACATGAAATCATATCTCGTTCCTTTTTAAAGTAAACTTTCTTTGAAATCATTTTATTTTAATTACAGCTTGTTCTCTGTGTCTGAAACAGGTTATAAATCACTTTAAATTCAAACGCGATCGCTCCGTCTGCACAGCCTTAATTTGCAGGAATGAACGAATATTCTAAATTGACGAAAATTCAAATATTTGGAACTGCAGAATGAAGATTTTAACGAAAAAAAAAGATACCCACAGTTGAGTAGTGATGATCTTTTCACGAGACTGAAAAGATTTCAGCTTTGAACGTCCGATGTTGCTGTTTTAATGCGAATGTGACGTCACCAAATTAAAAATAAATTAATAAATAAATAAATGAGTGAATGAATGAATAAGTTGTCCAAAACGTTTTCAGATTGACTGGCTTCTTTGTTTTGCTATTCAGTAAACGTTTTCCAAGCTTTTGTGTTAAACGAGATCAAAATGGGGGTTGATAAGGTTCCTTGCGACTGTGGTACGTTTAACGTAACATATACATCTGCAAAACGAGAATAAGATGCATGCATTGAAAAATCAAGGAACAAATATAGACATGTGGCTTTCACGAACTCCTCAGACGTTTCTGAATGCGCAAATAATGCGGCCGCATTCGCTTTTGGATGGGCTAATGTTTATTGACCGAAACTGTTACTGGTACTAGCAAGGCAAAAGAGGTTATCCACATCTTCTTCACGGGTGCTGGGTGACAAAATAAATGGAGACTGAAAAATTGAAATTACAGGTGCCAGAAACCCAAATGTATGTTATAAAGACAAAACGGCACCCAATCGGTTTCACAGCGAAGTCTCGAACGTCTAACACTGGGGAGCTCGTTAGGAAGCTCAAGCAACGACGACGGCGACGGCAGGAAAGCAACAGGTTTAGATTAGCAAAACAACAACTTTGCACGTGCAGCACGCTTTTTGGTACATTTCTATGCCGTCGATGCACGACTACGACGTGCACGACGAAGACAACAGACAATTTCCTATTCTTTTTTGTCAGTTACTTGAATATCGTCCTTTAGAACTCAACTCCATAAAAATTTACCAAAATTGAAAAATTCAACGATGAATAAAAGCTATGAAGTTTAAAACAGCGCGAAATTCACTTTTTTTTAAGTGACGTTTTCAGTGTTGAAGTTGCCATCTCCGTCGTCGTTGATACGAGCTTGAGCAGCATAAACGACGGCAACTTCAACTAGAAAGGCAAAAAAGCGATAGGTTTAGATTAGCAAAACAACGGCACTGCTTGTGCATCGCGCTTTTTTGTACATTTCGTCACTGCACGGCTACGGTGTGATCGAAAATGCCTAATTTCACGTTTTGTGGGGCTCAT